GGGCTTGATTTTCCGTCCCTGCACTCAAGCCCACAGTTTAAACCATCACCTGATCACAGTGTACAGACCTCTGGCAAGCAGAGCCGCTTCCACATTTTCTGACAAAACCAATTTTCATCAGAAAATGTCAATTCCGATGAGATCGAAGCATTTAATCCCCAAACATCTTAATTTTGACGGATGGATCCTCCCCAGGGTTCCCACAGATGGTGGCGGGTTGCGTTGGAGCTGCCAAGCGGCTGAGCAGGGCCGAGGAGATGTACTAACGGGAGCCGTGGCCCTGGGACAGTGAGGATGCAGCCAGAGGCCAGGCAGAGCCGCAGGCAGGGACTGGGATGGCTGCTGGTAATGAGACCTATTGGCTATTTGGGGCTGAAATTAAGTGAAAGCCTAAAATGTCCAGTGCACTAGAAATTCACCATTTTTTGCTATTTCCAGCTGCTCAGGCCCTGGGAAGGACCACAAGGAAAGGGGGGGGGGAGGGAGAAGGGTCCTCTTACCTGTCCCGCGTCAGGTGGGGGGACACCCTCCATGCACTGATTTCCTGATGTCCACATCACCCCAAGCAACATTTTCCAGGAGCAGTCCTGAAGGTCAGTCCGTACAGGTGGGTAGCTGTCCCCTAATGTCTCTACCCACACTTTGGGGTGACACCCATCCTCGGCTGCCCACCAGCATCGTCACCTTTAGCAGCCTGCTGCTGGAAAATGTCTCTGAGCTGGCACAGAGTGAGCCTGGCACAGCTGAGCCGGACCTGCGCCGATGAGAAGAAAGTGGCAGTGGTCACCTGGGGACAGAGCCATTTCCAGCCAACCCAGCTGTCTGCTCGGGAAGGGCCCCTGCGCTCCATCGTTCTGCAGAAAGCCGTGTCCCTTTTCCGCCGGATCCTCTCCCGGAGACCTGGAAAGCCATGTGCCCTCTGCTCCGTGTTACGCTGGAAGCTGTTAATCGCTGCCAGTGGGTTTAATTGGTAGCTAGAACACACAGACCCCATTAAAGCCCACGAGGGTGCCAAGGGCTCTCATTCATGCACAAATGAAGGAGCAATCAAACCCACTTAGGTAATAAAAACAGCTGGAGTCTGGAGGCAACTGCCTGAGGCATCAAACCACATGGCAGGCAGGACAACCCTCTAAAAAGTCTGCATTGACTTATCCTTTGATTGAAAACATGGGGATTAGGCAGAGTGTTGCAAGATTTTATTGGTTAGAGGCAGGAAGCCAGACCAAGAAATTATGGGTCATCTTCAAAAAACAACAGAGATACGGAGCTTCTTGAGCACAGACCTTGCTGGAGAGCATCTCCAAGAATATTTTTCCAGTGGGAATGACAAACGAGAGCATCTAATACACTGGCTGTAGATGTCATATACCCACAATATTCATGGCCCATTTTGCTAGTTTTTCGTGCCGTGGCAGATAACCACAACATTTGATCATCACAAGGAGCAACAATAACATGAAGAGCCTTCTAGCTCTCCATTTCTGCATAGGGATTTATCTCAGAAAGGATTCCCAAAGCCACCAGCCAGGCTGGGGTGTCAGCTCTTGGCCTGGAAGCTGGGCTCCCCCCAGAAGGAATTCATTTTCAAAAGATTCAGATCATGAGGCTCTGTATTCAGTGTTTTTATTTGGCTCTAATAGGAGAGATCCTGACTCACCTTTCTTTTATCCTGATTCTAGTGAAATACCTCCTGCTTCACAGGAGTTGCTGATATGGATGGGTAAGAGGGGTGTATGGACTATTGTATTTACGGAGCAATTAGGGAGGAAAGCTAGTATATACATGAAGAGACTACAGTGAGCATTGCAGAGCTGCCCCATGTTGCTCAAGAAAGCCATAGCTGAGCATTGGCAGTCACCTGAAACTTTGGCCCATTCCTTGCAAAGTACTCTCAAGATTCAGAAGTGCAAAGGGCTAAATAAACAACCAGCACACCATTGCTGTGCAAGTAGTTTAGATGTTAGTTATTATCGCTGTTGTAGAAACTTTCCTCCTTGTTTGGTGTTTTGCACACCCTGGTTGTAAGGCACCCAGTTTTCCCTACGCAAGAGGAACCTGGTAACTCCTGAATAAATCCAGAGGCTTTGAGGCAGTTGATACAGAGGGCACCTGCTCTCTTCCTTGCTGGGACCAGCCCACAAATCTGTGAAGGAGCTGCTAGGAGGACAGGTTCATCCATGGAATAGAGCTGGGAGGGGGTTCCTGCTGTCACCGTGGTGCCCCACTGTGTCCCTGCTTGTGCATGCCTGTGTCTCTGGTTCAGAGTGTGCAGAGGTGTGTTCGGGGATCCCACCCTGAGTGTCTCTTGCTCAAAAAGGTCATTGCCAAGATAAAGCAAATCCAGGGCAGGATGCTCAGGGATGTGATGAGAAGAGACTCAAAGGGTGAAGACTTGGCTGTTTGGAAAAGAGGTCTGCTAAACTCTGATACACAGGGGAATGAAAGGGAGGGAATGCCATTTACTTCATCTGTTTCTTATCTAATTTTCCTAGGTGAACACCCAAGTCCCAAGGCTAGTTGGGTCTTTGGGTTGGCCTGAGACAGCTGTTCCGCTGCTTCAGCAATTGTTTCAGTGGTCGCAAGTGTGGAAAATGAGATCGGAAATGACTTCGTGCACTGGAAAAGGTATTTCTGTGCTTCCTGCTGAGCTCATGAGCCTTGTGCGGTCCTCAGGGTCTGAGTTCCTTCAGGTCCTGAGCTTCCTGGAGGTGTGGAGAACCAGCTGCTGAGCCCCTCGAAGAGGAGACTCTTATCTGATTTCCCCTTGCTCCAGCTGACTCTTTGAGTGATGTGCAGAAGAGGAGCATGCCCAGGTCTAATCCCAGAGTCCCCAACCTCCCAGGCACCTTCTGGGGCAAAGTCTAGAGTCAGTTCCTTGCAGCAAAATGCAGCTTGGCACAAAGTTTGCTTCCTTGGGGAGAGTCAAATCCAGGGCTAGGAACTGAACCGCTCTCTGCAACCTTCCTTCTCTGAGCTGCTGAAGTGCAGAGAGTGAGGAAAAAGGAGGTAGAAGAGTCAGCAAGAAGAGCCCAGGAAAAGAAATTATGAAATACCCTGTCAAAAGCTTCTGGCTGTCATGAGAGAGTTAACAAATCCAGGCGCTGTCAGCTGAAGGGGAGAGAAAGTGCCTGGGCCCACTGCAGAGCTCCCAGGAGGGACAATTCCCCTTTGCAATAATTCTGCCTGAGTCTCCGTTGCACAGAAAGCTTCCAGTGAACCTCTCTGGCAGCCGCTCTCCTCTGCCCATCACCTGATGCTGCAGTCTCTCCGCAAGCAGCAGAGGGGAGACCATGACTCAGAGAGCTGTGCTGACAGAAAGCAGAAGGGGGAGAAGCTTCAGAGCTTCTGCCTGCTCTTGCCTGTGGATAGTTGGAGCATCAGTGTGTTGGCCGGCCACACTGCTGGTCCTGGTGGCCTCTGGCACGTGTAGGATGCTTTAGTGAATGGGAAGGTCTGCCTGGACCGTGGTGTGCGGGGACTGGCCATTGACCCTCTCCCATCTCTCAGGCCACCAGGGAGAGGGCTTTCCTGGCAGCACCATAGTGCTGATGCAGTTCTTCCCCCAAGGAGACTACTCCGGAGTCAGGATTCAGCCCCCCGCGGCCTCTCCTCCATCCCGCTGCGCACGCAATGTGTTACGCAGGTCCAGTTTAGGGACCTTCTCGCTGCAGAAGCATTGCAGTTTGGTGGCCGTGCCTGAATCTGGGCAGCAACACACATGGTGATGGTTGCTTTCAAAGCCTCCTGTGACTGGATGTGACCTTTCCCCATGCATGTCCAGAGCCAAAGGACCATCTTTCAGGGGATGCTTCAGCCTCTCAGGTAAGGCTGTGGTTTGGTCAGGATTTTGGGACTCTTGCTGACGCTGTCTGACCCAAGGTGCCCAGCAGGATCCCCATGAGAAGGGACGTCTCCGAGGATGCCGTGCGCAGGCTCTGTGGAGAAGAGGGCGAGTGGGAAAGGGGCCAGGAAAACTGATACTAACCCTGACTCCTAAAACACCTGCACCGTGTATAATTGTCCTTACACGCATTGCTGGGCTGGATTTTCCGGGCTGCATAAACACCCACCGTTCCCTTGAGAAGGCATTTGCTCTGAGCATGACCAAGCACCCTCCTATCCTCCATCAACCCCATGGCCACCGTCCCCTCTCTCCAGCAGGCCCTGGGGTTCCCCCTCCATCAGTCCCCTGCTCTGGGCTGAGAGTGCTGCTGCCTGTCACGTTTCTCCTGCGCCTTTCGGCAGGGCTGGAAGCTGCCAGGGGGCTTCAAAGCCCTCCCCAATCCAGCACGCAACCACCAAACTTCACCTCCACACTTTTTTGCAGCGACAGGATCTGGGCTTGGTGGCAGGGAGGGAGGAGAGGGAAGGAAATGCCACGGGCAGCAGGCTGAGTGGGAATTCGTATGGATGGGTTAGTCTGGAGGCAGAGACTGTCAGGCAGAGACAGGCAGGAAAGGGGGGCTGTCCGGGC